GAACTTCCTTCATGATTAAATTCTGGATTTAAGGTAAGTATTTTACCGTATTTTTCTCTTTTATTCTATACTTTGATTTTAAATACAAGCAAAGACAACAAAGTTTGATTATAACTCTAATGGAGTTTGTAAGAAATTATAACCACCTGAAGTGGTAAAATTTCTATGCCTCGCCATGATCAAATTCATGTATGATTGCATGCAAAGAAGTGAAAACCCGTCCCATTGAATTTGCTTCATTCTCATTCCCTTAAAAGAATGTGGTAGCAATATGTAATAAGTCTGAAAGAAGACAAAATTATTACCGTGAAGGTATCAATGAATGTGGACGTGGCAATAGACGAAATTATAATCGTCATCATTGTGATATGAGAATAATAAGGATTCTCAAAATAATCCTTCACTCTGTGAAAGTAATATTTGTCATCGATTTGATATGAGATTTTATAAAGCACATATAGATGACTATGGTCAATTCATGATGTGAATGTGACAATATTTGACTTATGAATACATATTCATTCTTGGAAGAATATGAACGTGCTAGTGGTAGTGAATATACCACACTCACCTCCAGAAGGAGGTTTGAGATGATATAAGAAATCAATGTCATTATTACGGCATGAATGGTCATTGTTCACGTACCTATTGTACGCCAAAATATTTTGGTAATGTGATTATTAAAGAATAACAGTAATGCAAGAAACAGATCTTGCATATAATTTTGACCATGACTATAATGGTATAACTTTCTCTTTAAAAGAGATATTCACCATATGATGTTGATGAATATGTGGTAGTACAAAATTAATTGAGAGCTCTGGAAGAGCCAATTATTATTATTTTGGAGGAATTAAATTGATTATCAATAAGGTATCGTGTTGTAGTAAGTCTCAAAGAAACTTATTCAGTTTCCAAAGTATACGCGAAAGCGGTTGATTATATTGAGACTATAAATAAAGGAAAAATTTAATATCTTCTATTACTACATCTTGTAGCGGGGTAATATGTATGTGAAAAGCTACCCGCTTTATTCTCCAATTTGTACTACATAAACAAAAGAATACCACAATGAAGTGGATATTTATTGATATAAAAACCCTTATCATAATAAACTTGGAGTTTATTCATAATTGCACACATCATGGTGTAAACCTGAAGTTTATCAATATTGATAATTTATCCAGTTGGCATACTTAGTTTAGCCATGTTAATTCATGTATGATGTGCAAAAATAATAGAGAATTCACATGGGTAAATATTGAACTAGAAAGTTCTTTACGAATTCTCTTATATTGCTTGTTCTCATTAATTAATAGATCAACTAAAATTGGGATTGAATCCCATGAATGCTGGAAATATCAAAGGTGAATATGGGCCCATTCACCTGCCATGTATACCACATAAGATGCATCTATGAGATGGTTACATGTGCGATTATTAATAACCCGCAACATGGTATTTTGCGAGGTAACTTGCTCAATAATTTAATTTCGAGCATAATTTCTAGATTTTCTATTCAAGAAGTTCATCTTGATAAGTTGGTTTACATCACAGTTGGTTTAGCAAAATGATTTATTAAGTGCCTCTACTTAATAGCTAAACAATTGCTTATGAGAACAAAGTTATCTATATCAGTTTGATATACGTTATATACCAAAGTATATTATTTTCTCCCCTCACAAGTGGTTCAGGGTCAGGAACCAAATAATTCCATCTTATTATTATTGATATGCGGTGTATATTTTGATTAACACCATAACGCATAAAGATGGGTTCTCAAAGTTGAGGAAACAAGTTAGTTTTTTTAACATGAGGGGGAGACATGATAAACAGTTGAGAAAAAGTTACGTGGAATGAATTATCATTTGTTCATATAGATCCTCGAATAAGATAATATGAACTTGAAGTTCATAAAAGATAATTCATCTGCAATATATTGCAAAGCATGCCAGATGCATTTGCTGACCCAAAGAAAGTAACTATATTCTCATTGCAAATGCTCCTATTAGAATAAGTCCTAGAAGGACAAAGTCTATAGTACGCTTAAAGCATATAGACAAATCGGTTTCAAATAAACTTCTTGATAAAGAAGATGAGCAAACGATCATAATAAAGGAGGCAAGATCACATGACATAATACTTCATAATATCTTATGAGAGATTCAGGTACCTGAATATATGAATGAAGAGATCTCTATGTTATGTCTTTATGAAAATATATTGAAACTGATATAAAATGTTTGTCGACGACATCTATGATAGCGCTAAATATATATATATATATGAGGATCTTAAGTTTGAAGAAACAATTTGAATAGAATTGGTTTCATATGAAAGGCATGTAGTTCAAACACTTGAAAGTATAAAGTCAATGGTATGTGCAATCAGTTTTCGATATCTTATATGTCTAGCATAACATGAAAACTTGATATGCATCTAAAGTCTACTATATGGCTTATATGACTTACCTTATATGACAATCCTTGAAGGATTTAAATCGCTTCAAGCATATACAATTCTTGGTCCTGAAGTACCATATCCTAAATGCAATTTGTGCACATATGTATCTTGCTATAACTATAAGCATGATAATGTGATAGCGAGAATACCTCTATGGAGATATTGAAAAGTCATTCCACGACATTATATGAAGACATTACATCTCTAGCAAGAATGATGATTTCAAGGTGCAATATATTCATTCAAGTTAATATGGTTGATTTGTTTATCAAATCTCTACCAAAGATCTTTTGAAGATGGTGCACAAGATTGGAATGCAAATGCTTAAAGAAGTGATTTGATGCTCTCATCAGGGGTAGTTAATACGCGTTGTACTCTTTTTCCTTACAAGGTTTTGTCCCACTGGGTTTTCCTTGCAAGGTTTTTAACGAGGCAACCAAAAGGCATATTGTTAGATATATGTACTCTTTTTCCTTCTCTAGAATTTTTTTTTCCACTGGGTTTTATTTTAGTTAAGGTTTTAACGAGGCACATTATCTGTTGAATAGACATTCAAGGGGGAGTGTTATAAATAGAGTTCTATTTATGGTGAATGTCTATATTTAGAGATATTCTAGGGTTTATTACTTGGTGGCTAAGTCACCATCTCCCTATAAATAGAAGGATCTATTCCAATGTAATTCATCCCAATATCAACAAGAATTCTCTTTCTCTACTTTTCTCTGCAATACTCTTCTTCTTCACTTATTGTTCATAACATATTTTTTTTTATATATATTGTATATCGTATACAAAAAATATATATATTTATATATTTTTTAGCTAGCAAATGCATCAATTTCAACCAATCGATTAATTTTGTATTTTGATCTAGAAAGAAAAAGTATATCTTTATTACGAGCCTGTTTGGAAAGCCACATTGTAATTGAATTTGGGTGTAATTACACAGTTTGGTATGTTTGTTTGGTCAAGTAATTACTTGGTCAACATTGAATTGGGTGTAATTGGAGGGGTGTAATTACACTCTCCAATTCTCAAGGGGAGGTGAGAATTGGTGGTAATTACACTGTGTAATTACAAAGTTGCTTTTTAGTTTCTTTCCTTTTTATTTTATTTTAATTTATTTTCTTTATAACTTTTATTTCTATTTTTTTAATTTTATTTTTATTTTTAATTTTATTTTGAAATTTTAAAATATATTGTTCTATGTATACATTATTTATCTTTTATTTCTCTACCTTTACTTCTTGTGATCCCATGTAATTGCTTATATTTTATTTATTATTTATTTTATTATTCTATATTTTAAAACTACACCTCCTAATATTAGAAATAATGAGTCATTAACAAACTTGGCATATTACAAGTGATGCAATTAAAGTAAAATTTTGTTTTTAAATATGATTATAAACTTATTATGTTTCCTATTCTTAAATTGTAGTGGAACTTACTATTATTATGTTGGAATTTGACATATGTTAAACTATTTTTTTGTGTGTGTTTTAAAATTGTGCTATATTCATGGTTCCAATTTACTTGTTTTATAGTATTGGCTCACATTGCATATTGTTCATTTTTTTAGTTAGACTTCATAGATTAGTTTTGTCAAACATTTGAATAATGTTATGACATCATATTTATATATATTAATATTTTATCAAATATGAATTCCGTGATGTTCTTACAAAACATATGTTTTTAGTTTTGTAAGTATCTAAATTAAATATTATTAATTTAGAATATATATATATATATATATATATATATATATATTATTTTTTATAATTATTAATTATAAATATATTATTACTAATTAATGTAAATTCACGAAAAAATATACATTAAATACCAAATATAATATCATTTACACTTATAAAAATTTATAGGCATATATTTATTATATTAACTTTTAAGTTTTGATAATTACTTTATTTAAAATTTAATCTAACTATATAATTATACTTGTGCAACCAAACATTAAACTTGTAATTACACTGTAATAATACTATGACAAACAAACAGGTCGTCGTAATTACATAACTGTGTAATTACTAGGCTGTGTAATTACCAATCTAATAATTATACCAATTCCAATTACCCGATAGCTTTCCAAACAGACCCTTAAGTCTAAATCTTTGCGCATACTATAAGTAGAATTGATTACTTAGTTCAAAGCCACCAACCCTGAGCAATGTGGAGTAGTAGGTGCTGATCAAATGACTGAAAAAGTGAACCAACAACCATTTTCGTGATTTTTCCATTTGCCATCATTTAAGCCCAGTGGGCCATTATCATTACCTACTCTAAATACAAGTTTTCTTCACATTTTAATTTAGAGTTTTTTTTTTCTTTTAACTCGTGTCAGAAATATATACAATTAGTAACTGAAAAAATATATAAAATTCATATTTTTTATATGTAACATATAGAATATATATATAAATAAGTATACAAAAAAAAAACATATTTTTTGGCTATTATGTTAACAATGTCTGTACAATATCATTTTCACTTTTAAGCTACTTGTAACTCCCAAAAAACAGATGCTAACTGCTTCAGACACCGTCCATTTGTCAATATTCCACTGTTTTTTTCTTTTACCTCGGCTCTGCCGTCCTGTATTTAGGTCATATTAATAGATTCCCTTATTTAACCTCTCCTTTTGCATGCAGATCCCCATTTTAGTGCCACTATAGGTGTAAAGCCACTGTCATTTTTTTCCTCTGCTGATCTGAGAATCTGAGATTATTACATTACATGATCTGTAGCTGCTGAAAGTACTCATCTTTTGTTAAGTAAAGCTCAGAAATCTCTCACAGGTAACCCCTTTTCCTTTCTTGATTTCTTGTTATCTCCGCCACTTTTTGTTGTTGTATATTTTTGTTTTTGCTTTACTAAAACCCATAAAAATTTGATCTTTTAGTTACATGAAAGATAAATTTTTTTTTGTTGACTTTGTTTTTTCAAGATTCCATTTTTTGAGTAGTGTAGATCAACTTATTAAATATTGATATATAGTAGTAAATAGTACCAACTGTTTTATTTTTTCCATTTTAGGGTGGTGGTAGAAAATGGTGGCGATGTCTCAACTTTGTTACACTCCACTTAGTGGCTACTCTCAGAATCATAACTTAAACCAAAGTTGTTACATTTCTGGGATCACAAACAGATTTTGTGGTAATAAGTTTCAGCAAAAACTCAGCTTTAACCCTTTAAGAAATAGCCATATTAGTTCTAATAAGTTGGATCAAGATTTGTTGCTGAAGTTTCAAGTTCCTTGTGCTGGTGGTGGTGATGGAGGAAGTATTGGGATTGGAAGGGGTGGTGGGGGTGGGGGTGGGGGTGGTGATAGTGGGGGTGGAGTAAGGGTGGAGATTCAGATGATTCAAAGTCTTCTTGGGATAGTATTGGACCAATTGGTGCTTTTGTGAATGGTTGGAGATCAAGAGTTGCTGCAGATCCACAGTTTCCTTTTAAGGTTCTAATGGAGGAATTAGTTGGTGTAAGTGCTAATGTTCTTGGTGACATGGCATCAAGGCCTAATTTTGGACTTAATGAACTCGATTTCGTGTTTTCAACACTTGTTGTTGGATCAATTATGAACTTTGTGTTGATGTATTTATTGGCACCAACTGCATCCGCTTCGATTCAAACGCTGCCTTCGATTTTCGCTAACTGTCCGCCAAGCCACATGTTTCAGTCCGGTTCTTATGGTTTGTTGAGTAGGCTTGGAACTTTTGTGTATAAAGGAACTCAGTTTGCTGCAGTTGGATTTACTGCAGGGCTTGTTGGGACTGCACTATCTAATGGTTTAATCAAGATGAGGAAAAAAATGGATCCGAATTTCGAAACGCCAAACAAGCCACCTCCAACACTTTTAAATGCTGCAACTTGGGCAATACATATGGGATTCAGTAGTAACTTAAGATATCAAACACTTAATGGTGTTGAGTTTGTGCTAGCCAAAGGTCTTCCTCCATTGGTGTTTAAGTCCTCGGTTGTGGTTTTGAGATGTGTGAATAACCTTCTTGGGGGAGCGACATTCGTCATCTTGGCGAAGATGACAGGTTCACAGAAAGCAAATGAAGTAAAGGTAGTTGGCGTTGAAGACGGATTAGTTGCAGAGAAAGAGAGGTTGCTGGACCAGAATGACAATATGCATACTGCTGATTCTGCTTCAAAGTGATTATTATCAGTGTGTATTTGTTTCTAAAACGTGCCATCCAAAACCGGCTCCCTCCCTCCTGGTTGAGCATTTCTTTCGTTTTTCTCTTATTATATGATCTATAAATAAAATGAATTATGTTAGTCATTTTAGTCCAAGAAATTCTGGCTTCTTGTTCTTGTAAGGAGCTTGGAGTTAGTCAACCATAGCTTTGGTTCCATAGAACAGAATAGGAGTTCTGATATTGGTTTGAGGTTTGTTTTAAGTTCATTTCTATGGTTGAAGATGAGATATTATGTGAAAAACATCTAAATATAACATTGTTTCTCAATTACTGCATGGAAAGGTAACTAAAGAGGAAAGGCAAGCAAAATGGTTTTTGTTGTGTGTTACTTAGCTATAGCTTTGATAGTCTCTATTTTCTTTTTCTTTTTTTCTTTTTTTGTGTGGAAATTATGAGTTAATGTTCCAACAATAGCAGACTTAGTGTAATCCTATTGTTTATACTAATTTTCCTAACACAAAAGATAAGCAACTATTAGCAAGGCATAATGTGGTAATACCCTATTCTACATACTAATTTTTCTAATATACAAAAAGATAAGCAACTATTAGCGAGGCATAGTGAGAGTGATACCACTGATACTATAACCTCCTGTCATACTAGATGATAGAAATGCATCTCTGCTAGTGGTTTCAGAGAATGAAGACGATGACTTTGGTTCATTAAACTTGGCTTTAGAATCTACTGTATGGGCTTCAGTATCTGGAATCATGTTGAGAATAGACTGAATAGTTTCTAGCTCCCTGACCACTTCTAACATTGAAGGTCTGTCTTCTGGTTTATCCTCGCAACACTTAAGAGCCAAAGCCGCAAACTTTTCCATGCATTCAGAAGGGTAAGGTCCCATTGTACTGTCCATGACAGAAAACATCTTTTCCGAGTCATGAGCCAAGTTTACCTGCAATTGATGGTTCAAGGTTGTAATTCAATATTTCCGAAAGGGACTATTAAACACAGTAGAGTTGCTCTATTCGCAACCTATATGTCACAGGTTCGAGGTATTAAGCCTCATTGCAGAAATGCTAGTGTACGCACTTCCCCTATCCCTTCCCTATCCGGAGGTGGATGCACCATACAAATGATGGATTCAAACACTAAGTATAACATACATGAAAATCACTAAAACGCCAACAAAAAAGCATCATGTCAAAAGCGCAATTTGTTCAACAATAAGAACTAAGAAGATTACAAGTTGAATCCATCAAGTTTAAATACTGAATTTGCGTTTGTCCCTACCCTTGCAATAGTCAGGAGTATTTCACTTTGTCTGTGCGGATAAACCATCTATCAAACATATGCAAGCAATAAGTAATTGGACTTAGGAAGTTGTCTATGAAGAAATACCTCGCGAACAATATTTTTTCCGTGTGAGATTGGCCGCATGCCTGTTAAGATTTCCAGAAATACAACTCCAAGGCTATAGACATCACTTTTATCGGTCAATTTACGGGTCAAGAAATATTCAGGATCAAGGTATCCCTGCATATACAAGTAGAGTATCAATAGAGCCAATTCAGTGATACTAGTGTAAATATAGCAAGGTCAAATGGAAACAAAAAAGAAGGAAAAGTTTAAGCATCCAGGGAATGGTATATTGTCTTTTTTGATACTGCAATAGCTGAACTTTTAGGAGAGGGGTTGCTGTAATTTAAAAGGTAGATGAGATGTTATCTTAGCATTGCCAAAGTACTAAATAAGCCATCAAAATCTATTGTAATTTCTGTCTACACACGCACACAAAAAAAATAAAAGGCAGTCTGGTGCACTAAGCTCCCGTTATGCGCGGGATCCAGGGAAGGACCGGACCACAAGGGTCTATTGTACGCAGCTTTACCCTGCATTTCTGCAAGAGGGTGTTCCCGCGGCTTGAACCCATGACCTCCTGGTCATGACAACAACTTTACCAGTTACGCGAAGGCTCCCCTTCAATTTCTGTCTACACAAGTAGATTAAAAAAAAAGAATCAGTTGAATGATTAATGTAGTCTAGACTTACAGGTGTTCCCTTCACAATTGTTGATACATGATTAGGTAATACACCTTCATCATCTTGTACAGGTGCAAGCCTAGACAAACCAAAATCAGCAACTTTAGCTGTCATTTTAGAGTCTAGAAGAATATTGCTGGCTTTGATGTCCCTGTGGAATATCGGCGGGTGAGCTTCTGTATGAAGGTAAAGGATACCCTTAGCTGCACCAAGTGCAATCTGTAATCTTGCTCCAAACTTCAAACTTTCTTTACATGTAACTGTCAAAAAAAATGGGAAGGTATCAAATGTTATTTTCTATAATCAAATTGATCAAAAGTTGAAGAATAAAAGCAACAACCTGATCAGGAAAATCATTAAGTTTACTTTTCAATTTTCTAGATGTGGTTGTTGGCTCTTATTTAGGTGATATCTATGTAGACATAGTGACTGACATACAACTATTAGGTCAAAGTCAGCTTCTTGACATGTGATCTCCATTTACGCATAAAAACGATATTTAAGAGCAGTCTATTGTACAAGTCAAAGATAGTAGTACTTGTTTAAGGAATATAAAAAATTATGAAATCCAGCTCCAAGGAGTGGCCTAGTAGTCGAAAAGCCGGAGTAACAATCTTAGGGGACCGAAGTTCCAATCCCAACAGACTGAGCCATCTGCCTATGTCTCAGTAGACAAAATTATACCTATACTGATGAGAGGTAGCAGGTACTTAGTGAATTAATTAGTCGAGGTGCATGCAAGTTAGCAGGTATTTGGTGAATTAGTTAGTCGATGTGCATGCAACCTGGTCGGGATAACAACAGTTATAAATAAAAGAAAAGAAGAAAAATATCAAATGCCCCTCCCTGGCTCTTAGCTGCCTTTAATAAAATACTAAGAAAATGAAAATGATGGATCAGAATCGACGAGGAACAGAATCCAGGGAACTCTTTCCTTACCAGAAATCCAGTTTCGCAAAGTTCCATTGCACATGAACTCATAAACCAGCATCTGCAAATGCATAAACAGGAAGACACTAATTTATTCACTTTATGACTCTGAATGCATCAACAGGAAATGAGTACTTTTACACTTAGGGAAAGGTTCCTAGTAAAGTGGAGAGAATGAAAAAGAATCCAGATATAAAATATGTCGTTATTTCTGGAATGGTCTAACAAGGAAAGTGTGTCACATAAATTGAAACGGAGTATGTAATTTGCACACTAGGAAGCGTGACGTCTGAAAGATTTCTAGAAATGATTTCAGGCGTATACTAAGGAAATGTGAGATCTAATGACTCGCAACCAATAGGAAAAGATTGAAAACTAACAAAAGAGATGCTACAGCACACAGTGTGAGTGGATTGATCATACCTGTTCTCCTTCTTCATCACAGTATCCTAGCAACGAAACTAGATTTCGGTGATGTAACCTTGATAACAGGGATATCTCTGTCAAGAATTCCTTTTGCCCTTGTAGCGATCCTTCTTTTGCTCGTTTGATAGCAACGATTGTTTTGTCAGCTAAAATTCCCTTAAAAACAGTCCCATATCCTCCTTCCCCAACTTGATTTGAGATATCAAAGTTGTTAGTGGCCAATGTCATTTCTCTAAAAGTGAAGCTTTTAATGCCATCCATTTTTATAGAGAGCCTTGAGGCTGGAATTAAGATATTAAACCTTATAAGTTTCATCAGTTTTGCAGAGAAGAGTCGAAAGAAACATATTCGTATAAAGTAAAGGTAAAGCTTACCAAATGAGAGAACTTACATAAACGTTTTCTTGATGATAGGATGCTTTGGTATTTGGCATGTTGTCTTTTGATTAATACAGCGATAATTGTTGAAACAAATGCAGCAAAAACACCTGCTACAATTGCAGCTATCAAAGCACCTTTGCTTTTATGTTTAGCTTGAATATCAGGATTCACTGCAGCAACACACGGATCCACATGATTTAACTCAATCGCGGAGTCATTTAAAGTTGGACTAGAGATACATTGAAGCTACGAAAACTTACAGTACGAATAAGGTCCCAACAGAGTGAAGTTAAGGAGCTCATAAGGCCCGAATAGGTCAACTACACTGATATCCCAAGATGAGAAAAGCTCGCTGATACGAATGACCTCACTTTTATTAAATGTACTGACCCCAACTGCTGGGAAAACCTTTAAGTGCATTCGTAGACGAGGTCCTTCTTCCCAAGAACTTGATTCAATCAACATTTGGTAAAGGTCCAAATGAAGATCACTAGTCATATACAGCAAAAAGTAATGCACATATGGATCAAAGTAAGAAAAACTAGGACTTTTCAGCCGCCATCCAACTCTTAGAGGCGAGGCACAAGAGCAAGGAACAGGTGATGTTGGGACATACTCATAATAGTTATCCTTAGGGCATGCATGAATAGGACAAGAGCCATTTACATTCGTCGAGTTACTTGTCTCATGTTCTGCTCTGGCTTCAGAACCACAGAATTTGATGATGTTCCTTACATTCGCATTGCTGCACACTGGATTTCCCTGCAACCTAAAAAATTGTCTGATAATGTTAGGAGCAGAAGTATTACCAAAAGTTAGCAGAAATCACTTACTGAGGCACATAATGTCTTTTAATTATTGAAGAATTAACCTAAATAGCGATCCACCCAACCGCTTAAACTAAAAATAGTCGGCGGATGTATAACTATATATAATCAATTTATAATCTATGTATATCGGCTAGGAAAAGTAAACAGTGAATCTAGCCTGCTATTTGTGTAAAGATTCCTTTATTATTGAAATGTGGAGATGAAGTTAGAGACGGATGCAATGTATACAGGTACCAGGTTCAACTGAACCTGGTATTTTCGATGCTAAGCATAAGTTTATGTATAAATATTCATTGAAATTATAACAAATAGTAGATATGAACCCATAACTTTAAATACGCAATGGGTTCAATGCTAAGAACCTTAAAGGTTGAATCCATAAAATTCTAATCCTTGGATGAAATGACAACGAAATCATACTTTCAGTAATCAGTGGAATGTCTTAAGTTTTCTCATTGAATATGGAAAGGAAAACCATACCTTAGAGTGACATTAAGAGGAGGTTCAAGAGTACCCGAAATGTCCGAAAGTGAATTATTCCGAAGATCACTAGGTTTGCAAAGAAGATACAAGGGTTAGAATATTCCCTCACAAAAATCCAGACTTCTGTGTGAAGGTTCATTCCTGAAGTAAATGATAGTACTATTCAATACAGAAATTTGATGTTACAATATCTTACATTTCAAGTCTGGAAGTTGAAGTTAACTTCTTTTGCCAAATGACGGTAGAAAAGGAACCATTCAAATGGTTGTTCTCCAATGACCTGTGACAAGACCATCAAATCGATTCGTTATACATAAAGTTGAGTTGCAAATTTGTATATTGCCTTACAGAAACAGTACTAAACAGAAAATATTGCAAGACACAGTGAAGATCCTCACAGTTTCTGCAAAGAGGGAAGAGAGGAAAAGCTCTTCGGAATAGATCCATCAAGACGATTGTGTGACAGAATACTGCACGATGAGTATGTACAACGCATTAGATTAGGACAGATGACAGGAAAAATACAGAGAAGTAATGAACTAAACACAAAATATGGCTGAAATGAGACACTAGATATATGAAGAAATCATGTAGCAAGAAACCGCGAAGTATACATAGTTGTCATATTGTTGGAAAGCTTATTCTGTGGTATAGATCCAGACAGTTGATTCCAGCTGAGATCACTGTACAAACAGTAAGCAGGAAGTTAAACATATCAGAAGATTTTTTGCAGTCAAATAATCATGAATCAAGAAGTATACAAAGTAAAAGAAACAATTGTATACTTGAACTTACAGATAGCTTAGGTTCTGTATTCTGCTAAGATCAGGAATGGATCCTTGCAACTTGCAATTTCTGAGACTTCTGCAATATTATCAGAAGCATTGCATCTCCATTTGAGTACGGGACAGCAGGATTCAACTTTACATCTTATTCTATCTACCCGATCCGTCATAATAAGATGTACTGAACATTCTCTTTCATATACATTTTCCAATATATGCATGTAAATTAAGACTACTCACAGCAGACAAAAAAAGGCAGCCTGGTGCACAAGATATCCCGCTTTCATGAAGGGTCCATGGAAGGGCTCCACCCCAGGAGGTGTGATGTAGACAGCCTAACCTAATGCAAGCATTAGTGGCTGCTTCCATGGCTTGAACTCGTGACCTATAGGTCACACGGAGACAACTTTAACGTTGCTCCAAGGCTCCCCTTCATGGCAGACATAACAATTTCAAAAATTGATAAAGACAGTAAACAATTTCTTAATCACACGTAATATTAGACAGGAGGAAGAAGCATTTGAAATTTCAAAGGTGCATAGCACAAATTTAATCATTGAGTCACCTCCCTCATTGCTCTAGTATAGCTACAACCTTTACTATGCTAGTCCTTCAAATGTAAAACTAAATAATGCTGTGTCATAGAGATAAATTAACCTCGTCTGGTCAAGCGAAAAACTAAAAGAAGGAAAAGAGGATAAGAAAAGAACAAAAGAGAAAAACATGTTCAAGGAGCACTTACAGTTTCACTAATGATGAAATGTTTCCATAAGAAGCTGGAATCTCGGATCGGCTGAAATTGTTGTTATCAAGTTGGCTGCATAGGAAAATTCAGAAAGAGACTTTGCTTGTCAAGATATAGTTATACATCTTGAGCACATACAGCTGATGAAAGTTGCATATGAGGTTCAATATATGTAAATCATGTGTGTGTGTGTGTGTGTAGGGACTTACATTATCCGAATAGACGGAAATGCTGAAAACTCAGGAGGAAGGTATCCTGAAAGATTATTACTGTCCAAAAGCCTGTCGACAGAAAGTATCATCACAAAAACATTACTCCATTAGTTCACAGCCAAGATAAAGTCATTCTAAAGTTACGAAAACGTGTTCTGAAGAAGAGAAGCTAACAGGAATTTCTTCCATTAACTTACAAGTGAATCAGAGTGGAGATATTGGAAAGTTCTTTAGGGATTTGACCACTCAGTGAGTTGTTGTTGAAGTGGCTGCAGACACAAGATATGTTCACATAAGATAAACAAAGATAAAACCTTAGACTTCTTTCAATTTTCATAACAATCAAAATGAGTTGAACTCACATATGTTGCATACTATTTAAATGGGAAAAGGATTTAGGAATGCTTCCGGATATCTGGTTCTGGTCTATCTGGAATATTCTCAGGTTCAAGAGATATCCAAGCTGATCAGGTAAAGATCCTGAAAATCGGTTTCCGTTCAAGAGCCTGCATATCAACATAGTTGCACTTGGATCAAACCAATAGACAAAGTTTTAGAACATATTCTTCACAAGCATTAGGCTTTAAAGGGCAGCCCGGTCCACTAAGCTCCCGTTATGCGCGGGGTCTAGTGAAGGGCCGGGCCACAAGGGTCTATCGTACGCAGCCTTACCCTACATATCTGCAAGAGGCTGTTTCCACGGCTCGAACCCGTGGCCTCCTGGTCACATGGCAACAACTTTACCAGTTACGCCAAGGCTCCCCTTCATTAGCCTTTAACAATAGTAAATCAAGATGGAACCAAATAAAAAGAGGAATTGAATTCATTCAACTTACAGAAGTTTCAAAGACTTGATTTTTCCAATCTCCCCCGGTACATTTCCAGTCAAATCATTCCACATGAAATTCCTATGAGAAAGAGAATTATAAATGTAATAGTAAGATGCATATATAAAAAAAAAAAAAAGTTAAAAATTCCATTTTGTTATTACATATCTGAATAACGTTATATGTGAAATAATATAACTCACATAATTTTAAGATGGGATAGTTGTCCAAGCTCAGGAGCTAAACTTCCAGAAAGATTCATATTCATCAAACGGCTGCATAAGGAGAAAATTAAGATGTTTAATGTTATTTCATGCATTGCACTCACACAAGATAGTAGTATAGTAAATAAACATCTTTTGCTAGAGGTTGCAGCTAATTATAAAATCTTGGGAAAATGTCCAAATTTATCTCTCTACTATATCAAATATCTCAATTTTATTCTCCGTTATACTTTCAACCATTCATACTGCTGCCATTAGCAACTGCTACATATTTACCCTAATTTAAACGGAGCTCCTCCATAGACAGACGTGATTCCACTAGTCTAAATACTTCGGAAAAATCTTCTTTTTGAATATATTACCCTTCATTATATTTCAGGTTAGAGATATGTTACGGTCAAGGGATAAACTGACAACAACAACAACAACCAAAAAAAAAAAAAAAAACCTCACAGGGGAGGGTAATGTGTAATGTGTACGCATACCTTATAAGTTAGAGAGGCTGTTTGCTCAAAGAAAGACGAAAAAGAACAGTGGCAATAAGCAGTAACAACAACAAGATAGATATCATAGTAAAAGAGACAAACATGAAGTAATAGAAATCTAAAAATAAAAAAATACGAGAATATAGGACCCGGAGCGAAATCAAAGAATACAAGAATATAAGGAAAGGTACAATTAAGATATATATATATATATATATATATATATATATATATATATATATATGGCATGAGAAATACAAAACATTTAATTTAGAAAATATAGGGTGGCTTTGAATAAACCTAATTATGCAACAATGAAGTTTCTTCTTAGTAAATTATAAATAGAGAAGAGTAACATACAGCTCTCTGACATGAAAGTAACCATCTGTTCCAACTTTGTTAAAACAATAAACTTCAGTCCAGTTTGATATACATGGATCACTACCCTTCTGCCAATTCTTCAGATACTCCATATTATCAATTAAACCACTTTTTACAGATACCAAAGCTGAGACTGCAAATTAAATGGCAATAGGAGATTCATAATTAATCATCTCATTATGGAAAATGTAACCATAAAATAAGATTTTCCTTAGAAATTAAGCATCAGCTCTATCAAAAAGATACTTAAACCAGCTTTTAACATGGACTAATACAAACAAGATGCCTTTAAATAGTACAGTATTATTCTTAATTTTCCTCTTCACGAATAAAAATGCTATGGTTTCGCAAAAGGCGCGCTAGAGTTAAAATTTAAAAAAAATGGTAGGGGCAACTTAAATATTACGTACATGGTGTAAATAAAAAAATGATAGCAACATTAGGAGGAAAGTGGTGAAAGGACAAAAAATAAAAATAAAGTACAAATAAAAAAATGGTACAGTTAAAAAAAATAATAGGAAAGATGACATTGTATATCCGCTCCCAAAATAATAGCCGAAAAATGTATATTTTTTGTATGTATATATATACATTATGTATGTTATAAAAATTATACAAACATTATGCACTTTTTCGGCTATCGAATGTAAATAGTTTTTGGCGCGGCCTAAAAGTGAAAAAAAGCCCATTTTTAAAAATGCAAGGAACTTCTCTTTTTTGGATATACCACATAAATTGTGGAGAACATACCATTGTCAAAGATAGCTCAAACTTTTTTTGCAAGACATGTTTAACCATTAATTAATTAGCATAAAGGACTATAGAATTCTACCATTGCATGAAATCTCGTAAAAATTTAATGCATCTATTTAGATATTGCTGAAAAAACTTCTATTTTATGAAGCAGCAAAACCCTTTATGTAATCAAAGTATAAATTAAATTGTGTTCAAGAATTCAATTAGAAAGATAATATAAACTTTAATTAAGAAAAATAGAAGAAATCCAACCTTCAGAAGGATGAGTAACTTGAGCAACTGTAAGCAGCATAAAACAATAAATTGCCGTAGTAAAAACATATCCACAATATCTTACTCCCTCCATCTTCAACCCCTAGAAAAATATCTAGCCAAAGATAGGTAGCCAGTTTCACCACTTATATTATAAACACTCACTACCAAAAAAAAAACCAGGATTTAGCGACGGACAAATTCTGTTGCCAGAAGAAAAATCCATTTAATTCCATTTAACGACGGATTCGTGACATATTATCAAGAAATTTTGTTAGCTACGAGCGATTAGGGATAGATTAATGGTGAAGTTCGTCGCTAATTCCAGTTTTTTTTTGTAGTGATTAGAAGTTGGAATAATTTACCTGATGTAGAACAGTGCGCAACTCGAGCGACACGACGTGTAATGCAGATGTATATGAGTGTTAAATTAAATAACTTGCAAAACATTGGCTCTTATACCATGTTATATATTCAACCCAAAACATCAACAACAGTGAGCTTTTTATTTCCACCACGAAATCCAAAAGTGGGATCAAAATTCAAACAATTGCACAACCGATAATTTTATCTCAAAAGAGAAGATCGCAGGCTTTATATATTATATGCTTGTGGTTGTTGCAGTAATCTAGTCGTACATAGCTTATAGATATTGTGAAGTAGAATTAAGGATTTGTGTGGAAATGCTTTGCCAAGAGAGAGTTAAGAAGGCTGATGATGATGAGACTAGCCACATCACATGACAACATTTTATATATATATATATATATATATATATATATATATATATATATATATATATATATATATATATATATATATTGTCCTTGTCGCGATGCCTCCAACAATAAATACATAAACCAAACAGTGGGTAGATACGTACGGGAAGAGAGGGGGGGGGGGGGGGGGGGTTTTTGATATATTTCGAAAAAGGAAAAAAGATGACTTATTGGTGTTTGGATTATTTAAGGTGAAATAAAGTCTTTTGAGCAGTTGGCTGTTGGATACTTGGATGCTCCTGACCGACAGTGGAGACTTAATATAAAGTTTAAAATGGCAATACAGTCGAGATTGATGAAGAAATCAGAACATATTTAGTTGAGTGAGTTTAAGCCAACGTAAAAATTATTTGCATGCACTATCATATCATCTTATTTGTAGCAAGAAACTGTTTGACCGAAAGACGATAATCTTTTGATTAAACTAATTAATCAGTTATTAAGTGGAGTTAATCCTAGTTAAAGCTAATAACTTCAGACCTTGGGTTGACAGTACGAAAGGTGTAAGCACTGAGGAAATGGAATTAATGCACAAGCAATATATAAATATGTCGAATGTAACAATGTGCATAAAGTATCAAGTATTAAATAACCATAAATGACAATAAATGTAAATAAGGAGAAAGATTCACCCAATATTGAATGAGGTGAATGATTCTTCCCTCTGACAATGAAGAATGACGAGAATGTAACAGCATATTGAGCACTTTCTCGGATCTGGTGGAAATGACAATAGATAATCCAAAAGGTCGAATCTCTCCAGAAAGTTATTCTTTGTATTTATCTAGAGAGTTCAAAAGTGTTCTTATCATCTATAATATTACAAGCCCTTTGCCTTATCTCTCATTCTATTTATATGGGATATTCCCAAAGAACCCTAAAAGTACAAACAGAGAGAATATTCCCTATGAAGATCCCAATACAAAACTAGTCGTTACTACTATCTGCTTTACTCGACCTCGGTCGTGGTTGACTTCCTGGAGCCTCGTTCAGTTGATCACTGGTCGACTACAGCCAAATTGCCCATGATAAGTTACAAATTACTCACGATAATCACCTCTCCGTGCTGAATTTCCTCGGTCGGATTTTGACCCATATAGTTAGTCCCTCCGCTTATCGAGGTTGTTCTTTGGTCGACCTCGGTGAGCGGACTTCATTAGTCGTAGTCGAGAAATTCACGTGGGCAGGTCGAGTAGTAAAGATCACGGTCGAGATGGTAACGTGGCGCTTTGCGGGCCGCAGCTTATCGTGACGTTGGTTCGGACTGACGTCACAGCATCATGCGTCATTATTACACATCTTCCCGATGCAGTGCATCGCTTCCTGTGCCCCTGTCAGTTCGATCTTTACGTATCAGCGGTTGATTTTCTCGATTGGGGTGCTTGTGTTCTCTATAAATAGGGATTGGGAACCCATTGTATGATCCTTTATGTTTTCTAGCATTTGAACCTGCATATTTTCCTCCCTTCTTCTTCTTTCTGTATTCTCGCTCTCATTGTTTCCATTTTCGCACCTTTGTTCTCCTTTCCGATTTAAGCGATTTCTGCTACTTCTACCTCTTTCTGTATATATCTTCTACATTTACATCTAATAAAAATGGTTAATACACCTCTTATCTCTGATGGGGTTCCACAACCAACTCCACTAGCAGTAAGAATGCCCCCTCACGATGATGATGTTGTTGTCGCTGCAGAGGATGAGAGTTTTCCCACCGTGGAGGAAATCATTCCTCGTAATTCAGGCTCCAGGTCGGACTTCTCGAAGCACCTACGGACGAGCCTGAGCTTGTGAAGTCCGAGATGGATGCAGACTCCCAACTATGCCTTATAAAAAGGACTAAGCGATCGTTGCAAATATAATCCGGTTTACAAGTTCGGAGTCGAATCCCACAGAGAACTAAGGCTTAGCTAAAGTTGTTCAATATTGCTAAGAAATACAAGTTCAAGTAATTTCCTGATTATAGTGATTATAATGTTTATTTCTAACTAATAAACTAACAACTATTATAAAGCAGTAAAATTATCAACTAACAAGGATGAAATTTAAGACAAGATTAAGGAGGTCTAGAGTTATGATTTTCCCAATTGTCGAAATCCTTCCCGCTATGCCTTTAATAATTTCGCCTAAGTATTTTTACCGATCGTGAGTACATCGGGTGTCATAATTCTCTTCCGAGCAACTACCGCAATTTACTAGACATATTCTTCCGAACTACGCTAGCTGGCACTAGTTTACCGCTCACTAAGATCGCATCAAGGTTTCGTTATTCATAATCCCACCTTTAAACCCTTCGTATTGATTCCTCACATACGTCAGGAGTGATGTTGTTTAACAACTACCTAAATATGTACCCTTTTTCAAGCAATACATACTACATAGGCACAGTCAATTGATTGTCATTCAATCAACAACAATAAACACGTGGTTGAACATAAGTCAAGAAAATGAGACGTAGGCATCACAAAACATGCTGTCCAAATAACTAAGGCATAATAAGCAATTTTAGCTCATAGGGAAGATACTACACATGCCAAAGCCTAAATATGCTACTATTAAACAAGTCAAGGGCGCCTAGGAATCTCATCTTTCTTCCTCCATTTATTCCCTAAATTCTTAATCTACTCTAAAAAAAATGCACCCGGTTCAAAATACATCCCATGGAAAAGAATCGAGGCACAAAGAAAACTACGGGGGATTATTACTACCTAAAGGAAACTAAAAGACATATTTTGGGATTTTTGTTTAGACTTTAATCCCTTAAGAAAACTGTCTCGGAGATCCATCATCGGAAAAAGTCCAATTTTCTACTTTTTTCATTTTCCTAAAAAAAATATTAAATTAAACCAACACAACTAGAATAGCATAGAAAGTCACCCAGATAATTTCCTCACCCCACACTTAAAATTGTGCATTGTCCCCAATGCACACCATAACTAATAAGAGGGTAAAAGAAACTCCCTGGTAGGCCGAAACACTAGCAGCTCATGGGGTACTCAGACTTCTCCCAGTCCTAGTCCTTCGTGCGGGTACCTCACACTTAGTTCCAACCACCTGGTTTGCTGTTGCATCCTTCCAATAGTTTTGCTTTTCATGCTCCTAGAAAATCAAAAATCGACACAACAAAAATAATATAATTAAAAAAAATAAAAGAAAGCAGTAAATCTAGGTTGCCTCCCAACAAGCACTTGATTTAACGTCGCGACACGACGTGAATCACTTTCTGCCTCTACTTCGAACTTATGAATTGGACCCCAAGTTTTGATTCTGCTCTATGATCATGCTCTTGGGGCGATACAAATTGTTGCGAGCCAAAAATTAAATGATACTTTATGAACGCTTTGGCTTTCGACCGAAGAGTGTCACTTTGCCTAGACAACCTTGAAAATTTCAGAATATAGGGCTCATCTACCTCTTCCTTTGACTCTTGCATTGGCTCATACAGATCAATTTCCATTTCACCATCTCAACATAATGTAGAGAAGTGTTTGGAATGAGGTCCAACGCGCTCAAATATATGAATTTCAAGATTTTTAACCTCCTCAACACCAATCACACCAGAGTCAACTAAATTTGTATCTTCAACATCCCTGGTTGACTCTAGTATTACTTCTTCAACATCAACATCCTCAAATTCTAGTTGGTTAGATTGTTGGTTTTCTACTCAGACATCATCCATTTGCACCTCAATTTCAGCATCTAATTCATGCTGTTCTTGGCTACTATCAACAATATTGGCTTGTTGAGCATTAAATGCTTCAACTAGTTGACTCACTTGTGCCTCCAGGTTGCGAATACTAGCATCTTGCCTTTGTATGTGCAGTTATTTTTTATTATTTTGTTCTACAAGGCGCCTTAGCATATCCTTGATCTCTTTCAGGTCACTATCCCTGTGTTCTTTGTTCCTATTAACTTCACAAGAAAACGACGAACCATCAAAGTAAGGAGTTGAGGGAGGATAAGGCATATAAGCACAACCATGAAAGTGACCATCTTGACCACCACACATATCACACACATTCCACACATAAGATTGAGTTGGTGCACATAACTCACTCTCGAAAATATTTTGATAATTTTGCAATGGGTGGTTTCCTCCACAATATGCATAAGGATCAATAGTAGAATTACCAACACCTAAACTCTCGTAATTCCATGATGTCATGTTTCTCAAATCAACAAGTAGAATAAATAAAATAAAAAATAAAACAAAATAAAATAAAACAAAATAAAGTTCAAACTTGAAACCTAGTAATATGTACACCTAAAGCTACACCGTTAGTTTCCCGACAACGGCGCTAAAATTTAATCACGTCCAACTATGCCTTATAAAAGGACTATGCGGTCGTTGTAAATATAATTCGGTTTACAAGTCCGGGGTCGAATCCCATGGAGAACTAAGGCTTAGCTACAGTTGTTCAATATTGCTAAGAAATACAAGTTCAAATAATTTCCTGATTATAGTGATTATAATGTTTATTTCTAACTATTAACTAACAACTATTATAAAGCAGTAAACTTATCAACTAACAAGGATAAAATTTGAGACAAGACTAAGGAGGTCTAGAGTTCTGATTTCCCCAATTGTCGGAGTCCTTCCCGCTATGATCGATCGTGAGTACTTCGGGTGTCACAATTCTCTTCTGAGCAACTACCACAATTTACTAGACATATTCTTCCAAATTACACTGGCTGGTACTAGTTTACCGCTCACTAAAATCGCACCAAGGTTTCGTTATTCCTAATCCCATCTTTAAACCCTTCGTATTGATTCCTCACATACGTCAGGAGTGATGTTGTTCAACAACTACCTAAATATGTACCCTTTTCCAAGCAATACATACTAAATAGGCACAGTCAATTGATGGTCATTCAATCAACAACAATAAACACGTGGTTGAACAAGTAGAGAAATCCAACGGCTCAATTATATAAAAACATAA